CAATTTTAAGATTACCTCCATATCACCCAGATCTTAATCCAATCGAGCTGGTCTGGGCCAGCTTAAAATCCTATGTAGCATAAAAAAATATTACATTTAATATCAATAATGTAAAAGACTTATGCGAACAATTCTTTGCGACTTTCCCTCCTACTGAGTGGCAAAGCCGATGCAGCCATGCAGAAAATGTGAGGAAGAATTTTTGGTTCTACTAGCAACAATGGAAAATAATATGGAAAAATTTGTCATAACTTTAAGTGATTCGGAATGGGATTTTTCCTTTTATCAAGAATATTTTTTTTTGTAAAATGTAAGATACGTTTTTCTTCATTTGTATACAATTTTTTGGGATACATATGTGTATATCATACCTCACCAAAAATAATTCCCTTATCCTTTTAGTCATTAAATTGTGTAAATTATTTGAAACTCATTTTTTCAGATATCAAACTAAAAATACCCAATATTACTGAGATCATCCACATATTGACAACATTGTAACATTTTTAATATCTACCGAGAGATTATCAAGCCGTACAATGATTGTAATGTTCGGGTAAATTCCATTCTTTTCTGGCCGAATACTTTCTCTCTCTGCGCACTAGAAGCTCCGCCCGTTTCACGAGATTCCTGTTCACCTGTAGTACGTGCTTATGGACCTTTTTATGGTAGTCGTCTGTCGGTGTTAACCAATTATAGTTACCAATATATATAAAACAATTATAGTTAACCATCTATTATACAAAATATAGATTGTTAGGTTAGGGTTAATAATTTTTACTGGACCAGTATTGCTTTTAAATCCATTTGGGGCAATGTGAAATGTTAATAGATGGGGCAAATTAAAATATTATTTTACTTTGCCCCACACGTAATATTATACTTACCACTATTAAATAAATAATATATGTCTTTCCAGGTGTAAAATGCGAAATTATAAACGAAAAACGACCCAACAATAATTGTCTGTGGAATCAATGAAATCTGCAATCAGGTCTGTACGAACTGGCATCCTAGCCAAAATCAAGCTGCTAGGCAATACGGAATTCCGGGTGCTATGTTCAATCTAAGAATCAAACCCGGTAAAAAATGAGGAAGAAGCGTCAAGAAAAGAAGCTAGGCCGATTTCAAACCATATTTAGTCCGAAACAGAGAAAAGCATTAGTTGACCACCTTATTGGTATGGATAAGTTATTTTTTGGTCTTTCTTATTTAGAACTAAGAAGTTTAGCTTTCCAGTATGCAGAAATTAATAAAATTACAAACATCTCTTTGATAAACAAAACTGTAGCTGGGAAAGACTGGTTGTACCTATTTTTAAAAAGGCGTCCCCAAATGACATTGAGACCACCAGAAAACACATCAGCAGCTAGAGCTTCTGGCTTTAATAAAATTTCTGTCAACACATTTTTGCTCTATTCGCTGAATTTCAAGATAAATATGCTTTTTCTGCCAACAGAACCTACAATTGTGATGAAGATGGTAAAACTACTGTCTCACACAAGCCAACAAAAATTATATCCGTAAAGGGTAAAAAGCAGGTGGGAAACTTTACATCTGGTGAAAGAGGCACTATAATTACAGCCGAAATTTTTATTAGTGCAGCAGGTCATTACGTTCCACCTCTTCTTATTATCCCTCGTCAGAGAAGAAATCCTATCTACGAGATAAACTTGCCTCCAGTAACTATTTTAACTTTCTATAAATCTGGATGGATGCAGACATAAATAATAAGCAATATCTGGTGTCCTCATTTTCTAAAACACACACATCCAACTGAAAATGATCATGTACTCCTAATATTAGATGGATAATTCAACACACGTTAAAAATTTGGCTTTAATTGAAAAAGGAAGACAACACCATGTTCTATTTTAGTAATTCCTCCACATACGTCACACAAGCTTCAGCCACTTGACGTAAGTTTCATGTATCCTTTAAGCAATTAATATACTCAAGAGGTTAGAAACTGGCAGAGAAACAAATTAAATAACTTATAATAAATTTATTGAATTACAAGATGTAGGCCAAATATTTGGTAAAGCATATACAAGGGCAGCCACATTCTTAAATGCAGAAAATGGTTTAAGTCAGCAGGTATACCAAATTTTCAGACATATATTTTGCACCGCCACAAATAACAGAACAAGAAAATATTTTTTAAAAAAACCCTATATTTTTTTCCAGCAATAGATTCTATTCAACCTGAGACAATGAGTTGTGAACCTTCGGCTTCTCGTGATTTAAACAATCAGGTAACTAAAGAAACAGATGAACCTAATATTGAAACATCAGCAGGTAACAATAATGAAAACGACCAAACACCTCTGAGTAAGAGTGATTTATCAATTTCTTGTCGTTTATTTTATAATCTAAAGAACACTTCCGACAACTCACACACATCTCCAAGAAGTTTAAAAGAATTACGATCTCCAAGTCATATTCTTCTATTACCAAAAGCAACATCAAAACTGACAAAAAAGGGAGGAAAATATAGGCATGGTAAAACTGTTATTATAACATCTTCCCCATATTTGTTAGAGCTAAAGCAGAGTTTCGAAAAACCAAATACAAAAACCGTAAAAAATATTAAACGAAATTTGAGCCAAGAAAATATTAAAAGTGAAGCTAAAAAAATGAAGTCTCGAAAAACATCGATGGAATCTGAAAGCTCTTCCGAACAGTCCACGAATATATGCTAGGATTCTGATTCAGAAGAACTTATTTTACTAGATGATGAACTCAAAACAACAGAGTTACTTCGCCTAAAAGATAACGAATTTACTTTAATACAGAAGAATATTGAAAAAGATGATTATGTCGTCGTAATTTTAACATAGATAAGAAAGGGAATAGACATGAAAGTTGTTGGAAAAATTAAAAGGGCAGTGTTTAGAAAACATTTACGAGGAAGAAGCATATGACATAACTTACCTGAGGAACTACAGAAATCACCAGGACTCATTTGTGTTTCCAGATATGCAAATTGATTATCTCGTGGCGTCTACGTCATATTTGCGCGCAGGGCAAAGTCCGACAGGAGCTGTATAAGTGAATTGTAAAAACATGGGTTTAAACGTAGTACAGTGGAATTTCTAATTGAATTAGGAACAAACTTAAGTTAGCGGAATTAATTTATTTAAACCTTATTTATATGTTTTTGAGAAAAATATTAATATTTTTGCAGAAAAAATTTGATTGCAATTATCGTAATTAATTAATGTAAAACGTATTTTGATGTAACTTGCATATTTTATGGAAAAAATATTCTTTTGTATAACATTTAAATATAGTTTTAAGAAAATACAATTTGTTATAACAACAAGTATTATGCAGTTCTGTAACAAATGGTTGTTTGTGGCATGAAGCAAGTGTGTTTATATAAATGTTTTTATTGTTGTATTTGACCACAGTATATTTTGTCTATAGCTATAGACTCATCATATGTTTGTGTCATGGTAACATTTTTTCTTCATTATAACACATATATTTTAGCAGTGATAACATGCTCAAATTAATAACGTAACAAATAATTGCTATGCTAGTTAACACTAAGTGATTTAGAAAAAACGTTTTAAACTAGCTTGTTCTAGTAATGCAACTTGACTTTAATTTTGTATAATACGATTAATGTTCCGACTAGCTGTATTTACTGATATTCTTGAAAATAAATACTGATAATAAGTTCTCCTAACATAAATCTGTAATTATAAAAAAAATTAGACTTTGCGTTTAAGTTACCAAAGACAGCACATAAAATATGTTAGTTCAACAAATACGTCTCCTGAAAGAACAAATCAACAACAGTGAATCGGTTATTATAACACTAAGTAGAAAACTTTTATTAGATATTACTCATTCGTTATAAATAACTTTGTACAAATAACAATGTAAATAAAAATATATTTACCGCAAATAGAAAATTGTTAAACTCTTCAATAAACTGTTAATTCAAAAAAGTTTTTATATTTAATACCTAACGTACACACTAACTTTACTAGATACTTAGTACCTAACTACACACTATTTTTACTAGACTAATTATTAAACGGGTAGAAGCGATCCGTTTGCTTCGGTTGATAGAAAATTTGTGGCAATGCTTTTAGATCCGTTAGTAACCACGACCGTCAGACGAATATCGGCCGTTGGCGCACGATGACGTACACGCCACGAGATAATCCACAGTTTTACCTCACGACAATGTTATTTTAAAAATTGAAATTGTCGGCTTTCTCAGCAATTTTTCTGCACTTCGCCATGGAATAATTAAATTTTCATAAATGTTTTTACTATTTTTAAATTATTATTTGCAACAAATATTAGAATAGGTACTTTTGTGTTATTTTTCTTAATTAAATTTTCATTTTAAAGATTTTTTTATATATGCTAGTTATATCTCACATTACCACCAACTATCATAAACGTTGCGGTTATAAGATATGTTTTTTACAAAATCTTATTTCGAACAATGTAAAATTTATTTAATTTCAAAGTTTAGCTATTCCACTTTACCCTACTCTCCCCTAGATACTCCTATTTGAGTTTTTGCCTACATCCTCGAGCTATCTATTCATCAATATGTTGGAGTCTTATTCCATTCATTCTGTTATTACAAAATACTTTAATTATTACTAAATATGTTAAAGAAGAAAAGGCCAAGTAAGTTCTCCACTAGGATAGTTAGTGTAATGTCTCACTCCAAGACCTTGTTATATATCGTAGCACAAATGTAGTAGAAGAGATTTCTGGTCAGTTCTGTTTCTAGCCCACCACTTGTTGACAGTGATGACGACAAAGTTAATGTATAGTAGCTTTGTTGTCTGCCCTAGTGATGTATGACTCTTAACTTGTTGAGTCTTAAGCTCTTTGCGTGAAAAATAGGTATAATAGAAACATTCAAAAATCTGCTGGTGATTATATAATAACTTGTTTTTGCTGCTTTTAGAATATCATTAAACATTACCGTAAACATACAAAGAAAAGTAACTTTAAACAAAAATAAAGTATAGTTCTTTATTTGTAAAAAAATACTTAAAATACAGCAATTTAATGTTAATATAACAATAAATTTTTATTTGCCTCAGTAAAAATCTTCTTCGCTTCATGATCCCCAACCCTTCTTAAAGATTTGACGATTTCGTATTATTTTCCTTAAAAAATGTCACTGTCATGCTTATTTTTGATTATAGTTTTATTGCTTGTATGAGCTTGTCTAACATATAAAAAAGTCTATCGCTTAATCTCATGTTTGTCAGAAATTTCTTTTTTTAACGTTTGCTGAATTTGTTCCAATGTCTTTCCCCGCGTTTCTGGTACCAGGAAGAATGATAAGAAAGTTGATATTATATTGCAAATAGCGAAGAAAAGAAAGGGACCACACAGACCAATGACGGACTGTAGCGCATACAAAATGTTATTGGTTACGAAGATCATGAGTCCAAAATCAATCATCAACACAGTCATAGCCTTTGACTTAACACTGGTCGAAAACAACTCCCCTAACATAAGAGTCGGTATCACTGCCATACCAAAAGAATTAAAAATCAAGTAGGTAATCATCGCTACAATCGGTATCCAGTTTAAGAAGCTTATATCTACATCATGAACGTGTTGATCTATGAAAAAGTATATAGATAACACAAGCAGAGGAATGGCAGACAAAGAAAGCGAGAGGATATAACAAAGTCTTCTACCCAATCGTTCTACGACAAAAATGATCACGATTATATTTAAAATTAGGCACAATCCTAAATAAATCATTGAAGAAATTTCAGGGCTGACTCCTCCTTTGGCTTTCTCGAAAATAAACTGAGTGTTCATAATAAACACAGTAGTACCACCAAGTTGTTGAGAAGATCTTAGAAATATGGCTGAGACTAAAGCTTTTCTGTTACTTTTGATCATAAAGAAATCTTTCCAAGTTCCTGACTCAGACATTTGACGTTTAACATCGTTTTTGAGCATCTCATAATCTTCCTCAATATTGTGCTTACGTTTTAAAAACTTTAGCGCCTGCTTTGCTTCGTCTTCCTTTCCTTTAATGACGCAATAGTAAGGCGACTCCGGCATGAAGCAGAAAAGTACGAAGAACAAGCCAACTAGTGGAATGCATGCGTAAGAAGTCTCTTTGACACCTAGAAAACATCCTATAACGTGAATTAGAAACTCTCCCAAATACATAGCAGAGACCATACAGTTTCCCCATGTTCCTCTAACTTTAGGGCTAGCTACTTCGCCGATATACATCGGCAACGCCGCATACATGCATCCGTCTCCAATTCCAGCGCAGATTCTCGATGCATAAAACACATAAACGTTCTGAGCTAGCGCAGCCAGGACCCATGAGAGCAAGTGGGGTATGGAGATCAGCAGCAAGGTCTTCTTTCTGCCGATGGTGTCGCAAAGAATGGAAAATATTACGCAAGTGACAATCATGGCTGCTGGATGGACAATGGTGAAGAATGACGCATCATGTTCGGAGATATCGTAGTTTTCTTTGTCTTTTGTGATTTTTAGTAGAAAGGGTGATGACCAAGAGGTTAACATACCAGTGGTGAGGGCAGATAGGCATCCTAAAAATGAATATATTGCTTTAGATAAATATAAGTAAGATTTTAAAAGCTAAATTAAAAAAAAAACTTATATAATTCAACAAATATAAAAATTCAGACAAATTTAATAGTCTAAAAGGTATCAATTAATCTGTTCTTAGAGATACGTTCTATTGTAGGTTTAGGTATTATTTTATTTGGAAAAAAGTTTATCCACTGTCCGTGAATATATAAAAATAGTAAGTTACACTTCATCTAATTTACATACCGATGCACTTCATCGGCGTGATAGTGATGTGACGTCACATGATACCAACACGAAATATTTAGGCGGTAGGTGTGTCCTTTTTTAGAATCACTTTGCCGAGTACACTGGCATTACAGCCACTAGACATATTTTATTATATACGCGTAGAAATAATATTTAAAAATTTCTATTAATGCTAACTTAAAAAAATACACAATAATATGTTTTATTTAATTAGTATAAATGCAATATAAAGCGTTTTAGAAAGAACATTTGTTCGGAACACACTATAACTGTAATCGAACGAAGGTGAAATTTTGACATAAGTTAGAATCACAATAATTATGTGATCTATTTGATTTAAAATGGAGTCAGGATTTTTTTTATACTGTGGCAACTATGTCAACTTCGAACTCTGACGTAGATAATGACGTGCATCGGTATGTAAATTAGATGAAGTATATATATTTTATATTTTAACTTACATTATAAGTTTAATATATATATATATATATATATATATTATATATATTATATATATTATATATATATACATTTATTATATATATATATATATATATATATAATATATATTATATATACATATATATATATATATATATATATATATATATACATATATATATATATATATATATATATATATATATATTATAAAAAAAGAAATACAATAAATTAACTTAGAAATATATACAACCAGATATGCAGTGTTGATTAGTAGATTTATTTAAATAATTTGTAAGTTATATACTAGATAATATTATAAAAAAATAATTATATGAGGGTATTTTTAAGAATTTAGCATAAGAATTAAGTTTAAGAATTTTTTTTATTTTATTTTATTTAATATTTAATATGTTTACTCAGCCATGTGCTATGCAACCAAACATACACTGTAGTGTCAAAGTCAAAAAATAATTATTTTTGGAATGTTAATTTAGAATATAATTGTGGATGTAAAATTGTAAAAATATAGTTCATATAAATGTTTAAGTTACATATAATAGTGTAGTTCTGATCTGGAGAGCCTAAAGTCAAGTAAATTATAGATAGAAAACTCTAGAAATGTCAATGGGACTGTATACATAGTACATCACAGGCAGGAAATCATTCCAGATTGTTCATATAGAACAAATATAGAATGATTCGAACATTATTTGTTGCTAGAATATTCTGGAAACAATGAAAACATATAAAAAGCCATGTAATTTGGAGGAGTCAGTCAGTTTGAGTTAGCAGTTTAGTTATGAGTTAGAGTCAGTCAGTCAGTTATGAGTTCAGTTCAGTTAAGTTCAGTTACTAGTTCAGTTATTAGTTAGTAAAGTTATAATTCAAGAATTTAGTTACAAGAAGATTATTAATTGAGTTAAGTGAGTTAGTTAGAATATATTAAATCAGTTACAAGATTATTATTGAGGAGTTAGTTATAACAATTTAAGGATTATTAAGTCAGTTATTTATGAGGTTATGAAGGGATTATTCAATGCTAGAAGAAGGCATTGATTAAGTTAAATGAATTATTAAGTTAAATACAGTTGGAGATTAATTATTACTACAGTAATATAGTGACAGTTTTGAAGTTAATTTATTGAAATAAGCATTCAATAATACAACCACAAGATCCAGTATATTTCAAAGTACATTAAGTATATGGAAATTACAATGAGTTAAATATATATTTATATGGTGAGTGGAGATAATTCAGAAGGTAGATATTAACATTGTTGGATAACCAAGGCTTAGTAAGAAGATATCGAGTGGTGATAATAACTTTAATTTTGGAAAAACTTTAGGCGTTCAGTGAAAGAAGGTACCAAATTTTGTTAATAATTTAATAATTGTAAGAATTTCAAATTTTAGATAGATTGTTTTAAATTGATATTGCTTATATTAGATAGATAGGTTTGTTTCATAATATTTATAATAAAGATAATTTAAAAAAGTACTTACAAACTAATTCTTTGAGAACCGCGATAAAAACCCTATACTTACATATTAGTCATTCAAATTTACTCATTGCTCATACAACAACACATCATAACAATTTATATATATATATTATATATATATATATATATATATATTATATATATATATATATATATTTATATATATATATATATATATATATTAAAGTTTATTGAACATATTTGCGTCTTTTAGAAGCTTGGTAGTTTGCCATGTAAATTCATGTTTGGTCATATTCCCATCATCTTTCACAACCTTTTCCATCCAAAGCATTTTCTTCTCGTAGATTTTGGTCATTCCTCGTTCTTCTAGTGTTTTCATTTCATAATCTGTATGGTCGATCCCGTTTTCTTCTTCCTGGTGATCTTCACAAAATATTCTTATAGTTTAACGCTGTAAGGTGTTCTTAATAAATACTACTTTAAGAACCCTTTTTCTATTCAGTTTACCAGTATTTTTTTCTGTTTCATTTGAGTTCTTAGTTCTTCATTACTTCTTTTAATTCTATTTCTACTGATAAGAGCCTTCTTTCTAGGTCTGCACAAGAGTCCACACTTCTGATCCACAACACAAAACTCATCACCATGGCTCTATCAACTATTTTCTTATTTTTATTTTAGATGTTATTATCCTACTAGAATTACTTATGTGCGAAGATTACCGTATTATAAGCCTCATGAGTCATCTCCTAAAATTGTTTCTTGAGATAATTCATAAGAGAATCTGCAAGCTGTGTGAAAGTCAAATTTCCCCCAACCAGTACGGGTTCACAAATGCTGTTGGTACTAGAAAAGCTTTGTTCTTAGTCCAAGTCTTATTCCAGAGATGCAGAGACGTCAACTGCAATGTATACGCATGTCTGGTTGATTACTAGAAAGCGTTTGATCGAGTACAGCACGTTAAGATGATGCAAATACTAAAAGAACTTTGAAAATTAAGGCAAATATCGAGTACAAGTTTAATCAAATCTTGCCCAAGTATTTTCGCTTAATGTAGCATCTTCAGGGGCATTTCGTCAAATATGGGCTATCCAGCAAGCGTAGAATGTGATAAACATGAATGTTAACATAAAATTGTACAAAACACTAGACTAAAACAAGGACAAACAGTTTAAAATTAATTAAAATGCTTCTACGCTCTACATTCTTTGTCAGTAAAAGGAGAGAGAATGGTGTTTAACGGAAATGCTAAGGTGACATGTGACATATGACATATTTGGTCATACCGATCGGTTCAACATACGCAGCAGTAAAAACGCAAACAACAAGGCTAGGTCTGTAAATTAACACAGAAAAAACAAAAATAATAATATAGACAAGAAGAATTATAGTCCCACAAAACATTATACATGAAGATGACATTAAAACGGTTAAAAAGTTTACATATCTGGGAGTATCTATATGCCGACGGATCAGAAGATGGAGAAATACAAAAGAGAAAAAGCAAACCGAGCTTATTTTGCCTTCTCCCATATATTTCGGTTTAAAAATGTCCACAGAAATACAAAGATAAGAATACATAAAATCTTAATTCGACCAATAGCAGACTATGTATGGCAGTAAAGCATGGATACTGAAAGAAACATCCAAAAGCAAACTCGACACATTTAAAAGGAAAGTACTGAGGAGAATACTAGGACCTGTGAGGAAAAACGAAATCTTCAGAAGTCGATACAACAACGAACTTTATCAACTTTATAAGAAAGCACCATTGTCAGACTTCATTAAAATACAAAGATTGCAATTGGTCGCACATGTGATGTATAGAGAAGATCAGCCACAGACAAGGCTGGAGGCAAAAAATAAAGGAGGTCAAGGCTCAATTTGAGCTGTGGGGCCGTAGAAGAAGATAAAGAGAAAATAACGAATCTCGGAAACAGGTAGACAAAAAAATAAATAAGATAGTGACGCATAACCCATATTATAAATCTTCTTCTTCTAAGTCGTTAACCTGATGCAGGTATCGTGATATCATGAAGCTATTAGCTAATTTTTCCAATGTTCCTCCACGTTTTTCTATCTTCTGCCATTCTAGCACATTCTGACAATGGAGCGCCAATAGTAGCAACAATATGGTTCGTGTATCTTGTGGGAGATCTACCTCTATTTCTTTCGCGTTCTACTTTTCCCTGGATGGTAAATAAGTAATATTATAAATACCTAAACGAAAAAATCAACATAAACGTATGAACACACATAAGCAAAATATATCAGATTTTGATAATTGAGCCTATTATGTATATAAGTTACCATTCACAACCGTTTTTATGGAATTTAATGAGTACTGTATAGTGAACCACTATATCATTTAATTACAATCAATTCTATTTTATTGATAAATTATTAGGAATGCTGGCGACGTTAACAAAAAAATATAAAAAATATAGTGACACTGAACTGCAGTTTTTACAGATAAGGATAAAAAACTGCCTAGACAGCCATTATGTTGGCCAATTATATTCAAAACGTTAAACTGAATAATTGTAATTAAAACAAAAGACAGAAATTTATTGATATAGGTACTAAATAATATATAAAGTAAGTGAGAAGTATGCGTGTATCAAAAGAACATCTAATCAATTTTTAAAAGAGTGTCAGCTATTTAACGGCTAATAATTTGAAGAAAAAATAGAAACATGGACAAACAAACAATGCTGAATACATACATATATTTACAATTATACATACAATATGTGTGTGTTAAAAGCTTTCTAAACTCGATAGCAAAGACAATAACAATGGGAGGGCAACATTGCAAAACGCTTAATGTCGTATTCAGTATCATC